TAAAAAATTAAAAGTTATTTGTTGATAGTGTATATGGTAATGTCTTTGACCTTGACTAATACACACTGTATTCATGCTGGGAAAGACCATGTTGCACACTGTAAAGATATACAGTGATTAAATGTACATTTAAAAAATACTATTGTTTCAACACTGTTTGCTATCAACTATTGTCATCCTGTTGTGTCGTAGATTTCTTGAACTTATTTTTCCTGTTTAATTGAAATTTTGTACCCATGGCCTGACGTCTGCTCCTATCCAGCCCCTCCAGTAGAATGGTAACTATCATTCTCCTTTCTGCTTTTATGAGCTCACCATTTGTAGATTTCTTATATTGAGATCATACTGTATTGTCTTTCAGAGCCTGCCTTATGTCACTTAACATGATATCATGATATCCCCTAGGTTCATCCATGTTGTTGCAAATGATAGGATTTTCTTCTGTCTTAACACTGAATAGTGTTCCATTGTGTGTACATACACAATGTTTTAAAAAATGTCAGCTTTTTTTTTTTTTTTTTTTTTTTTGGGGAGGTTTTTGCTGTAGGGCACATGCACTCACCAGAAAGACAGAGAGAGACAGAAAGTGAGAAATCCCCCCTTGGGGGGGATGGTCACACCGCAATCCCTTCTCCTCCATTCTCCTCTCGGGATCTTGGGCACGCATCACATGCGCCTGGTGTGAGTTTAAGCCGCCAGATCCAGGCCTTGAACTGTGGTCGGCTACATAAGAGTTCAGCAATATAGCTATTATGCCAACTGCTGATCCCAAATTGTCAGTTTTAAGATGCAGTTTGTGGACTTTTTTTTTTGGTGATTTTTGGTTTACATAGAATTGTTTCACATCTTTGTGAGGTTCTGTGTGGCTTTTCTAAGCATATGTATAGTGTCTAATGATCAAGGATATAGACACATTCATCTTCAACACTGAACATTACATTATATCAAGTACATTTGATAAGAGTTCACCTAGTTATCTTTTTGTGTTTTAAATAATTATTTATTTAATTTAATTTATCATTATCATTATTGCTTTTTCATTTGCTACAGGACATGCATGCTCACCAGAGACAGAGAGATAGAGAGGGAAAGTAAGAAAGCAAGTTGCCAGGTCCAGGACTCAAACCCCAGTTGGCCATGTCGGAGTCCAGGATTTTTTTTTTTTTTTAGAGGTTTTTGCTATAGGGCGTGTGTGCTCGCCAGAAAGACAGAGAGAGACAGGCAGAAAGTGAGAAATCACCCCCCGGGGGGATGGCCACACTGTAATCCCTTCTCCTCCATTCTCCTCTTGGGATCTTGGGCACGCACGCACACGTGCCTGGTATGAGTTTTAAGCCACTGGGTGTGGGACGCGAACCACGGTCGACTACATGGGAATCCAGTGACATAGCCATTATGCTAACCGCTGGTCCCAAGAATCTTAATCATGATGTCACCTGCTGGCCCCTCAACTAGTTATTTTAAAAGTATGTATTAAATGTAAACATTTTTTACTCTACTCTGCTACTTTGCTCCATAACCTATTCTACTTTTTAAACATGTGTTCTGTGTCTGTTAATTATTATTTTCTCCCAAACCTCATCCTCTCTGCCCCCACAGAGCTTCTAGTATCTGTCATTACTCTATTTTGATGCCATTGAGTCACTCAGCTTCCACCACAGAGTGTGGACATTTGATATATGTTAAACAAGGAAATACAGTATTTGTTTTTCATAATTTGGCTTATTTCACCAGGTTGTATCTTTTAGGCTCATCCACTTTGTGTCAAAAGATAGGTTATCACTAGTCTTTATGGCTGAGTAATATTCAATTGTGTATATGTGCCACATTTTCCCAATCCATTCATTGATTTTTATGCATTCAGGTTGATTTATTATCTTATTGGGAATAACGTTGCAATAAATGTGGATGTGCAATGGTCTCTCTGACAGTAATTTCTCTTTATTGTCAGAGGATATGTGTACTTGCCAGAAACAGAGGGACAGAGTGAGATAGGGCAAAGGAGACAGCACCTCCCTCTGGGGCATGTTCACATTACAATCTCTTCTTCTGTATTTCCCCATCCTGTAGCCATTTGAGGCATGCACACAGATAACATTTTTCAAGCACCCAGAACCAGAATTCAAACCACATTCAGGCAAGTGAGATACCACTAGGCTACCAGGCTGACCTAAGGTAGTTCTACTTGAAAAATTTTGAGGAGCCTCCATACTGTTTTCCACAGTGACTATACTAATCTACATTTCTACTTCAGAGAGTTCACTTCTCTTCCCAAACTTGCCAGCACTTGTTATTTTTTGCTTGTTTGTTTTTGTTTTGTTTTCTTTTGATCATAGTTATTCTGACTGGGATCTGGTGATACCTAATTGTGGATTTGATGTGTGTTTTCCCTATTAAATGAGATGTTGAACCTTTTTGCATATTCTCTTTAGCCATTAGCATGTCTTCCTTTGAGAGTTATCTGTTCAGGCCAATTGCCTTTTTCTTTTCTTTTTTCTTTTTTTTCTTTTTGCTTTTCTTTCTTTCTTTCTTGTCAGAGAGCATGCATATTCATCAGAGAGAAAGAGAGGGAAAGAAAACACCCCCATGGGAAAGATCAGGCCACAATTTCTTTTCCTCCATTTTTTTCTTCTTTTGGGATTTTGGACATATATATATACCCATTGTGTTTCTCAAACTGCCAAGTCTGGGACTCAAACCATGCAACCATGTGGAATCCACCAGCCTTAACCACCAGGCAATGGGCTTGCTCATCAATCGGTAATTCTTTTCTTTTTTAAAGGTTTTTGCCATAGGGTGCATGCAGTCGCTTTAGAGAAACAGAGACAGACCGTGCTCGAGAGAGACAGAGTGGGAAAGTGGGAAATTACCACCCAGGGGAAATGGCCATGCTACAATCCCTTCTCTATTCTCTTGGGACTCTGAGTATATATCCACATGTGCCTGGTTTGATTCTCAAGCTGCCAGATCCAGGAATTGAACCACACTCAGCCATGTGGGAGTCCACCACCCCAACCACCATGCCCTCTGCTGACACCTCAATTACTCATTTTTTAATTGGAAATTTTTTGCAAGTGGGCTGAGTTTTTTTTTTTTTTATATATTCTGGTTATTAATTCCAAAGTATTTTGCAAATATTTCCCCCCTTTCTGTGAATTGTCTTTTTACTTTTATTACTTTTGCTGTGTAGAAACCTTTTAACTAGACATAATTCAACTGTCTGTTGGTGGTGGTGCCTGCACTTTAAGGGACTTAAGAAATGTTTGCCTACTCCAATATCTTAAAGTTTTTCCTTGCATAAGCTTATAGTTTTAGACTTTAGTTTAAGTCTCTAATCCATTTTTTGGAATGGTGAGGGATGTGGGGTTTAGTTTCATTCTTCAGCAAATGGATATCCAATTTTCCCAGTGCCATTTATTGAAAATATTTTTTCTCCACAGAATTATCTTTGTTTAAAATCAGTTACTATATGTTATTGAGTTTATCTCTAAGTATTCTGTTCTATTGGTCTGGTTTTATGCCATGCAATGCTATTTTTATTATATCTTTGTAATATATTTTGAAGTCTCCAACTTTATTCTTTTTGCACAGTATCACTTTGGTGATATGTGATCTTTTATGATTCTAGAAAGCTCCTGACCTAAATGTTCTCTTTAGGCACCTTATAGTTTGCCATCCAATTATATAAAGTAGACATAATGAATTTTACTGACAAAGCTTTGTGTATTAGTTACTAGAGGTTATAGTAATAATGTATTCCAAATTTGATTTTGTTTTCCCTTAGTACACTAATAAGATCTTTATCTTCACACTAGCTAATATAGGGGCCAGAAGATGTAGTGGTTAAAGTGCTGGACTCCCACATGGCTGACCATGGTTCAAGTCTCATACCTAGAGGCTTAAAAATCATACTGGACCTATCTGCATGTACCCAAATCCTGAAATAATGGACAAGAAAGGATTGCAGTGTGGTCATACTGCTGGTGAGTGAGTTCTCACTTTCCCTCTCAGTCTGCCTCCCTCACCTCCCCCCCCCCCATCTCCAGTGAGTGCATGCACCCTATGGCAAAAATCTAAAAAAAAAAAGAAAAGCTAATATAAAACACAATGTCTTTTCCCTAATAAATCAAACCAAACTTGATATAATCTAAGCAAGTGTATGTAAGTAGGAGAAAAACACATTACAGCCACCTGAACCTGGGTATGTTAGTCTATGACTTTGAGTCTATGATTTCATTTATTTTCCCTCAAGATTAGTGTCTCTTTGTGAAAATACTTGAGAATATCAAATACTATTGGGCACCAAGAATTTGGTTCAAGTGCAACGGAGCTACTGTGTTCAAGTGTAAGATGATTTCCCACAGCTCCTCTTGCCCTTTGCTCCTTGCCCTGGGCATCCCACCTCACTGCACACCTCCAGGACTTGCGTTACAGAGATGAGGACCAGGAAGAATGCTGACAGTTGGATTTTAGTTTTTCTTTGATGGGAAGTCCTACCTCTACTTTATCCCTTATGACATAATCTTAACTACACACTTTTTTCTCTTCTAAAGATAAACATTTTTGTAAAGCTTAACATAATATCAATGCAGGTATGTGTACTTTAACATAAATAACTTTTTTTCTGAACAAAATGGGATTTTTTTATATCCTTAGACCAGTTAAGTGATCTTGGTATAAAACTGTACTTACAGATATTTATGAAAAAGAGGAAAGCGCTTTATTCAATGAGCCCTTAATTCCCGAAGCTCTCTGTGTCTGAACAAATTATATCTAATACTTTCCAATAAGGTGAGTCTTTCTGTGAATAGCTAGTGAATATCAACATAGAGAACTAGTTTTATGAACAGAAATTATCTGTTGCACAGATGAACCATTCAATATTAATTCAATATTTTATTTTCCTTACTTACAAGGCATCTTAACTGTGAGTTCTGTAATTAATTTCATCAATAATTTTAGAAGAAACAGTCTTGGAAATAGCGGTTGTGCTAGTAGAAATAATACTGAAGAGGGAGTTAACTCTGAATTCATTTATTGAAGCACTTATGCAGGTATATTTTTTAATGTTCACTTAAGTACAAAACTTTTGTAAGAAAGATAACACTTTTATTGCATTATAATTTTTATAGTTTATAAGAGTCAAAATGCAAACTCATAAGCATAAATATACATGATGCAACCAAATGGCAATGTAACCACTAAGGTTTAAAATGTAAAACTAGAGTTTACCAGGCAAAATACTTAATATGGCTTTTAATGGAAAATAACTTTTAAAATGTCTTTTATTGCCCCATTCTAGTCCTTTCCCATCCTGTGAACAGAAAAATTGATTGCCATTTCAAATGGTACATGTTATCTAAGTCATTGGTGAATATGTTTTGTAACATGTAGTATGCAATGTAATTTGTGGATTTCTTTAAATATATATATATATACACACACACATATGTACATATATATATAGCTATACAGTACACAGTTCTGCTTTTATACCCCTGAACATCTTGATTAAAACTATTACAATTTTTCTATTATAAAACTACTTGAAAAGTTGGCATAACTTCTTGGTACTGAAGTTCAATCCTACAGAATATTTTTTTAAAAAGCAACAAAATGTTGGTTATAAATACATTCTTTACAAAAAAAGTCGAATAGTGGTCCCGCACTCATACTTTATATTACAGTGGAACTATTTTATTCCTTTAAAGGTATTTACATCTTGTCCTGGTTTCTGTGTGAAATATACAGAAGATGTTAATAGTGAGAATATCGTAGGCAGGCCTATTGGTTAGGTTTTTCTATTTGTTCATTTTTGTGTAAGTTCCAATTCTCTCTAGAGTTGTTGTTTACTTCTATTTGCCTTGTATTACTGCTGCTGCTGCTTCTTTTGGTGTTCTGGGAACACTGGGTGACTTTACTTCGAGGAACAGGAAGAAAAGACTTAACTCTTGGAACACTCAACTCAGTCTTTGATTTACTGTTGCTGCATTCAGTAGTTTGATGGCTGCTGAGAGGACTGACCTGAAAGAGAAGAGAAACCAAACACATGTATCATGTTTGCCATTGTTATCAACTTCTTCTGTGATCGGCTCTAACTTTTCTTCCTCTCTGTCTCTAAGCAAACATGCAGGACTAGTTTCTCTGTAAATGCAGGCTCTCAGGAAAAATCAAAGGAATGGAAGAGGACAAGCTGAATGATTAATTATCTATAGACTTACTGCCTGATTTTCATTGGGCCCTTCCCGATGTTGAGAAACACCTATACCTTGAGTGCTACTGAGTCTGGCACCTGCTAATCAACAGAAACTTCTCAAGATCCTGGTCCTGAGGAAACCACCAGATATGACTAGTCTGACTATTTACAGGCAACTCTACAAATCAATTATGTTACCTTGGGTAAGTCACCAAACATTTCTGCTTTCCTATTTCAGATTTTTTAAAAAATGGACTATGAATCAAAAAGTCTTTTTATAAGACAAGCTATTCTGGTTGCTTGGTATACAGCAGGGAACATAAAAAGACAAGATCCCTGTCCTGATAATCACCTGGTCAATGTTCTCATTTTGCCCAATGAGGAATCTGGCTTGCTCGTGTCAAAGAATGGAAATACTGAGACAAGACTTCAGGTCTCTCAGCTTTCATTTACAGTGGTTTCTCTATATTGCATTAAATTCTGCAATTTTTTTCCTTCTTTTTAAAAAAATTCTCACATGTAATCATTATATATTATTACAACTTATAAAATGAATTTTCCCAGCATGAATACATTGTATATCAATCCAGTTAAAGAGATTATCATACATGTTATCAATAACAGATAATTTTCCATTTTTAATGTTTTGCTTTTTATTTTCTCCTTGATGAGGCCTACTAAGTGAGCTGCTCTGAATGCCTCTGAAGCAGTTGACATTGATTACTTTCCTTCTTTGAAAGTTATATTGCAATCAAGATTGTAACCACTAAAAGATTGAAAATGTAAAACTAGAATTTAACAGACAAAATACTTAATATAGCATTTAATGGGAAAAACCACCCTGGCTTCAGCTGGCAGTTGCATTCTCCTGGGTGTCATCTTAAACCAGTGGTCTCCACCTTGGCCACATTAGAATTACCTGGGCAGCTCTAAAAACCATTGCTGACTAGGCCCTATCCCTACAGAGCATGGTATGGACACACTGTTTGCAAAAATCCCCTCCATAACTCTAGCGTGTAGCTAAAGTTGAGAACCTCACCCTTAATTCCTCAATCTCCTTTTTCTCCACTGATTAACACTGTTGATCACCTTTCCCTTCTGCCTGTTTCTCTCTGACTAAATAGCTCTCAAAGATTGACCTGTAGCCCTCATTGATCTCCTGATCTTGAGAACTGCATTTCTACCCGCCAGCTGACAATTCACCTCTATGTCTAGCCTGCGCCTCAATCTCAGCTATTCCCAAACCAAATTTATTGCAGTCCCTCAATTATACACATTTCTAAAGCATTTCCTCTTGGCTCACTGGGCAGGATACCTCAGTTATCTTTAACAAATTCCTCTCTCTCCCACCTATCCAATGTTACCTGCAAATGGGCAGTAATGTCTGTGTTGCTATAAAAAAAAAAAAAAAAAAAAAAAGAAGAAGAAGAAAAGGAAGGAGATAATTTAAGTCCTCACTAACTGCAGAATAAATCTTCAACTAAACCCTGGCTCTGATCTCTTAAATCTCATCCTTGTGCTCCATCTCCACCTCTTAACGTCTGACTTTTTTAAAGCCCAGCATGACATGTGCACCAAAACTACTCCTAAGTCACCCAAGTGAAATCTACTGGTGCCAGATTTTTCGGTCGAGCTGACAGTAAATGGGAAGACAGCTGTGCAAGTCTATTTTTCCCAAAGCAAGTATGTAATGAATGCTTAATGAAGAGGAAATATGAGGTCCAGAGTATGCGCATTTGAAGAGAAAAGGAAAGAAAAGAAAGAAGGCGAGGTAGAAAAAGTTTGATTTTGCTTCTTTTTTTTTTTTTTTTTGAGAGGTTTTTGCTATAGGGCGTGTGCACTCACCAGACAGACAGAGAGAGACATAGAGAGAGAAAGCGAGAAATCACCCCCCATGGGGGATGGTCACGCCACAATCCCTTCTCCTCTATTCTTCTCTCGGGATCTTGGGCACGCACGCACACGCACCTGGCATGAGTTTTAAGCCACCGGGTCCAGGATGCGAACTGCGGTTGACTACGTGGGCGTCCAGCGACATAGCCATTACGCTGACTGCTGGTTCCCTGACTTTGCTTCTTGACAAACGTTAATCCTTTCGAGAATCATGAAAAGGCTGGGTTCTGCTGTACTAGAATGACCAACTGTGCCCATGGAAGCTGAGAGAAAAGGCTGAACTATAGACAGTTTCAGCATGCACATCCCAGTTGATCTCTGTCACCTCCAATTGTACTTTATGGTAGGTTAACAGTAAATGGGAAAATAAAAACCATGCTCGATCTGATTAGTATGCTCTGCTTTTGTTTTATTGAAAATCTTATGCTGTCATGACCAGAAAGAAAATGAGAATTACATAACTTTTGATGGTTCAGTGGTTCAAGAGTCACATGCTAAAACCTAACAGGAAAGACACAACACAAGCATTCAATGCAATCTAACCTCATTTCTCTATTTTTTTTTTCTTTTGGAGAGGTTTTTGCCATAGGGCACAAGCGCTCACCAGACAGACGGAGAGAAAGAGAGACAGAAAGCGAGAAATCACCACCCAGGGGGGATGGTCATGCCGCAATCCTTTCTCTTCCATTCTACTCTTGGGCATGCATGCACAGGTGCACTGCTTGAGTTTAAGCCACCGGGTTTGGGACATGAACTGAGATCGACTACATGGGAGTCCAGTGACAGCCATTATGCTAACTGCTGGTCCTTCTCTTAAGTCTATAAAATGGGACTCCACCATGGTAATCTCAAATCTGCTCATGTTTTACACCATATTATAATAGTATTCACAAAATATGACATATTATAAAATAATAAATAATCGCCATGCAGAATCTGTATGGGTCACTGAATGCCCTCTGGCAAGCCACAGGGTTAGTAAGAAGACCCAGAGAGAAGGGAGATACAGTGTGCTTTTTCTAGTTTATTCCTTTATCTGCAAAACGGAGGCAAGGAGAGTATGTCCTGATGGTCTGAAGCACCAGGAAGAGCTGATCATGGTTGGGTGCTGAGCCTGTATGGGGAGCTGAAGGTGGGGCTGAATCAGTCCCTGGAGGTGTGAGGAGAATGTGGAGCATCACTTGGACCTGCCGTGGGCCTCAACAGTTCAAGGTTGGCAGTGTCAGAACAGAGAAAGTGAAGTTGCTGGCACCCAAGCATAGGTTGGGTATCCTCCTGAAAGTAAAAATGGACTAGAACTTTGTGGGAGACTTGAGGTATGTTTTTTTTTGTTTTGTTTTGTTTTTTTTTGAGAGGTGTGTGTGCTCGCCAGGCAGATAGAGACAGAGAGATAGAAAGCGAGAAATCACCCCCCAGGGGGGATGACCACACCGTAATCCCTTCTCCTCTATTCTCCTCTCGGGATCTTGGGCATGCATGCACATGTGCCCAGTGTGAGTTTAAGCCACCGGGTCCGGGACTCGAACCACGGTCGACTACATGGGAGTCCAGCGACATAGCCATTATGCTAACTGCTGGTCCCTTGTTTGTTTGTTTTTAAAGAGATCTTTTTCTATAGGGTGCATATGCTCACTAGAGAGAAAAGAGACAGAAAGACAGGAAAATCCCCCCCACACACACACACACCCCTAGGAGGGATGGCCACACCATAATCCCTTATCCTCCATTCTCCTCTTGGGATTTTGGGCACACACACCCAGCATGACCTTCAAGCCACCAGGTCTAGGACTCAAACCGCAGTTGGTCATGTGCAAGTCCAGCACCTTAACCTTACCACTTTACCTCCTGTTGGGCCTGAGTTTATAATGTTAAATGCTTCCTAGGCTATAGCCTAAAAGTTCTCTATTAAAAATATAAGATTACTCTCAATGTTTATGCTTATTTGACTAAAAACAAAATCTGCTAATTTGTATATAAAACTTACTTTGGACAGTGACTTTAATTATTTACTCAAAGAATTACTGTTAAACCAGAGCAATTCATAATTTCTTTCTTAATACGAGGGGACCTCAAGCTCATGAAAAAGATGGATTCAAAGTATGAATTTAGTTTGATCCAAAAAATTAGAAATCCATAGTTTTTTTTACCATACACATTTTTCATGGACATTTTGAGGACCTCCCACTCAAAAATATTGTGACCCCTCTAGACAGTAAAGTAGGGAGTAGAAAGAAAAACGTGCAGGGAAGATAGTACTGGTGATGGATCTTTAAAGATGTACAGGACAGTGACAGTGGCAAGAGAGGGTTCCATAGAAGAAGGATGGATGAGGACAGACATGGGGAGCTGTGCAGTGTAGTTGGGCCTGGCACAGTACGCACGAAGAGTTACGCGTAAACAAGTTAGAGGAAGGTATATGGACTCTAAAAACACACTGGAATGGAGACCAGCAGATGGTGCAGCAGTTACATCACTGGACTCCCACATGACTGACTGCAGTTCAATTCCCAGACCGGGTGGCTTGTGCCTGAGATCCCAGGAGAAGAAGGGATTACAACACAGTCATCCCCCGGGGGGGTGATTTCTCACTTTCCCTCTCACTGCCTCTGCCTCTGTCTCTCCTTCTCTCTCCAGCAAGCACATGTACACCAGGGCAAATCTCTTTAAAAAAATATCGTAGAATGAAAAAAGTGGGTGAAAAATGAGGGTGACAGGCCAGATATTTGTTTTTGTTTTAGGGTCATGAGTTCATCCCTGGCTGCACATGACAATCAATGAAGAGCATAAAAATCCAATATCCAGGATGTGTCTCAAACCATAACGGATAGAGTCTAGGTCCCAGGGATTAAAAAAAAAAATCCTCAAGCAGATTTTATTAAACAACCAAAGAGGAGAACTTTTGATTTAGAGGGAGAATCCCTTGTATTTACATGAAAGGAAACCATTCAATAGTATTTACTCCATTCGTGACCTAAGAGGGCATGGAAAGATCTTTTCATTTAGAAGGCTAGCGAACATGCTTCTTGATCAATAAGCCCATTTAAATTCCATTCCTGTTGGAGCACTAAGTAGTTAAATTGTGGCAAGTGAGGAGGTGGATGTGAATTCACTCACTGTTTTTTCCAATGGATAATGGGGGCAGCAAGGCCCCTCTCTAAGGGAGGCATAGCCAGTCTCTGGCGATGAAGGACAAAATCATTTCAACTAACCCAGAGAGCTCTTACTTTTAAACAGAGTTACTTCCTGATAACAGAAGAAACTGGGCATTTAACCAAGAAATGTTATTATAGTCGATGTTCAGAAGGAGAAAAAAGGAAAGAACCTGCCGGCTTCTAGAAGAAGGCTGACAAAACAGTGTTACTTTGCCACCTGCTGGCAGGTTCTGAGAGAGAAAATAAAATCTATTGGAGAAGAGTCCCTTCAAGTGTCTTCAGGTAAAGAAAGTGACAAGTAGGAGGCCGGCATACTGATACATCAAAATGCATATCTAAAAAACCCAAAAAAACAAAACACCAAACAAGAAACCCCCAAACAAATCATGCAATTCTTTTGTAAAAGCTGAGATAGTATAAAATAACTCCATTTTTTTAAAGGTCTCTTTATAAAATAAAGCTGTCCTGAGCTGCCCAGAGCTTGTCTGATGTTTCAGTACTATTTTTATGGACAGTACCTCATCATAGTAACCCAATGTCATCACAAGACAGCAGTAAGGATAAAAAAATGTTCCTCCATTAGACATTGAAACGTCAGCAGCCAGTCTCTATCAGTCACTGATCGCTTTATAAAGAATTGAGACTTGGCCCAGTAGAGAAAGTAGCTCATTTTTCCTCTTCCCACATCCTCACGGTCCTTCCACTATATTCCACAAGTAATGCAAAAGGATGGTCTGTGAGACCCCAGAAATGTGCTCTGGTCTTCAATCAACCAAAGCCCAGGGTGGACCATCATATGTGGCTTTAAAGATGGCAAAGAGACAGACCCTGAACACAGTATTTTTCAAATAAAGTGACACCAGGGTACCTTCTGAAGTCATCCTACTTTAAATATTACCCATTGTGGCATGCTGCTCAACCATTCCCAGTTGGACGAAAATGTAGACCTTATGATAGTGAGAGGTTGACAGCCTTGCATTTCTTCACAGATCATCATCTTATATATACATATATTATTAGAGACCCCGACTCTGCAAATCCCCACTTCACAACACACATCGCTCACATAGTTCCACACAGAACTAACAGGACCCAAACGAATGCAGTGAGAGGGCAGGGGCTGCCAGTGGTCAGGAAGGGATTAGTAATTTATAGTTTCACTATGCCTGCTCTATAATCCTGCTTCCATCACCCCCACCTCGATCTTTGTAAGCCACCCTGGGAGTAATGAGAACAGGATGTGAACAGCATGGCTTGGTGAACTAACCACATGTTACTAAGTGCTTCTATGAACTCTGCATCCTCAACAAAATAGCTAACGGGTAAGAAACCCTTTACTGTTTTGGTTCACCCAGGAATACCATGCTGTACCACCTCTTGTCATTTATTAACGGATAGATAACGATCCAGCACCACAGTCCTGGAAGCTGTGCCAAGAGGTTAATGAAATCCAGGGGAATCCTGGCTCTTCTATTTGCCATTCTGACCTGTTTGTGAAGGAAAGGCTCTCCCTGAAATGTAATGCCTGTTGCAGCACGTCAGGAAACTAAAAATGAACATTAGATAATTTATTTTTATGCATAAAACATCTTTATATTATCACTCACTCCTGTAATTAACTCTACTTTTCCAAAATGCAGAAAATCATAGATGTTTTCAAAAGAAAAATATCAGACTTAAAAAAATGGATAATAGAAGTTACATTATTTCAAGTTGGGCACACACAAATGAAAACATATGGAGGCTTCCTCAAAAGACACCAAAATCTTTTGAATAAAATTTTAGGCAACAGAAGGGAAAAAAAAAATGCTTTTCTATATCCTTCTTTTAAGATATTATCCAAACAACAATCTTTCTAATATTTATGAATGAACACTTTTATCTTAATCCTATTTCTCATTTTCCAGCTGTGCTTTAAAAATAGCTTTGGGATTTACACTAAAGATTTGTGAAGTCACTTCCACAGCAATCCTCCTTTTTCCCATCTTGGAGCAAAAACGGGACTTACCTTTTGAGACACTGGCATTCTTGGATTCTTAACAGTTGCTGAAAATGCAGGGTTGTTTCCTGAACAATCAAACCTCCTTAAATCATCCCTGGAATCAGCAATCTGGAAGATAATCGATTTATCAAGTCCTGTCTCCACAGTTACACTGTGACACACTCACGGCACAGGTGAAAACCCAACTTGGGGGCTCTAAAGAACATACCCTCATGTTCATGAGAAAGACTTGATACCTACGTCAAAAACTGACAGAGAATGTATGAGAAATATCCTCTAATGGAAAATAATTTATTAAAAATGTCATAAGAAGAGGCAGGCCCCACAGGCTAGTGGTTAAGGAAGCTGGATCCCATGCAGCTTACTGTGGTTCAAATCCCAGTCTTAGTGGCATGAAAATCACACTGGGTGCAGGTACGTGCATGTGTGCCCCATACCCTGACAGAATAAAGAGATGCAGGAGACCATACCCTGTTGGGGGGTGTTTGCTCCTCTCTGGCGAGGGCAAGCACTCACAGGCAATTAAAAAAAAAAAAAAGGCAGAAGTCCAGAAGAACACTATAGGGTAGGGTGGTGTGAGTGGAGAGCCATATGGAAAGTCAAGAAAGCATACAAAATTTGTAAGATTTAATTATTACTTTATTTTTTCCCCAATGGACCAGTATTTCAATTCATTACCAGGAAGATCCAATTAATGAAATAGTCCATTTTACATTGTCCTAGAGATGAGGACTATCCAAATATATTTGTCGAGTTTTTCAGTGGAACCTGATCAAGTTATAGCTATTTTCTTATTATCCCTTTCAAGCAAAAGGCATTTATCAAGGAAGCTTGGTCAGACTTGCTACAGACATCAGGGTGTTAAAACAGGTTGAACGTGATGTTGTTAATCCTTTCTTTGAGATTTCGGTCACTGGTTTCTATATCAGGATCTCAAATTTCATAGTTTAAAGACTCTGACAATATGTATTATACAGACAAATTATTTTCCTTAGATGTAAAGAAAGTTGTTATTTCTCTGTCTATAACACAAGTCTGCTGAGATGCTTATTATAAATGTGTTACAATTTTCTCTTACTGATAGATGATTGACACGTCGCAGCTAGGAAAACATCTGAAGGAACTCAATGTGAACTTTCACTCACTCATACTTCCTACCTTGCTTATATCAGATTCGGATTTGCTGGAGCACATACTCTGAAGTTCCTGGACAAGGTCTGCCTCGTCATCTGAGCTCACAGAGAGTCCTTGATCCAAATTCAATGTCAATGATGGCTCGTTTTCTAAGGACCTAACAAAGTTCAGAAGAGAGTTTTTTGAAGTGAGAGCACCAAAGCAATTCCTAGTGAGGAAGTATAGACACTGTACCTTTTTGGAGGATTTAGTGTGGGGGTAGGGAA